AATATCTGAATAATGAATATTACAGATAGATCGATGAAGTTGTCGCTGATGAAGAGCATGTCTCATTATTCTACTTTTAGCCATAATTTAATCGTATAATTAACTTTTTCTTAATGAGACAACTGATTGCCTAATTCAAATTATTCCCAAGTGAACAATGTTTTTCTTTTCAGTTTCAAGATTTTCATATTTCAACAAAGATTCTTATTGACAGTATTAAATTAGATTATTTGTTATCAATCTATTAGATAATTCTATTATCTTTTTGATAGAATGGGTGAGAGTATAATTTATGAACGACCTTTGAATGACGCTAAAGTGGACCTGAGAATTTCCACGTACTTACTTACTTACTTACTTTTGCCTGTTACTCCTAATGGAGCATAGACCGCCGACCAGCATTCTCCAACCCACTCTGTCCTGAGCCTTCTTTTCTAGTTCCATCCAATTCTTGTTCATTTTTCTCATGTCTATTTCCATTTCTCGGCGTAATGTGTTCTTTGGTCTTCCACTTTTCCTTTGGCTTTGAGGATTCCATGTGAGGGCTTGTCTTGTGACTCAGTTCAGCGTTTTCCTCAATGTGTGTCCTATCCACTTCCAGTCCACGTACTGACTAGGGCTAAATGAAGGTTTTAAACCCGCGTGAATGATAAAGATTGTGATTTGTGGTTGATAGTTAGGGATAAAGATTAGAATTAGAGTTTTCATCATGAACTGATATCAGCCTTAATGCCAAGACATTATTTAGCCAAGTGGATAGGTGAATTTCACGTTAATATCCAAGACCTGTTATCTTAAATCTGATTCGTTCATCCATAAATCTTAGTCTTGCCAACAGAATCTCTCAATAATTTTCCTTAGTCAGTTAGAAAGATTATAACAACTCTGCTACAATCATTTATGTTTATGGTTAAATTTTTGTTAAGCCCTTTTATTAAGTTACTTAACATACAATGTGGCGAGACTCCAATTTATGGACGAGCCAATCAGAAGCGTTTTAGAGATTTCAAGGTTACGGCTCCAATTTCAGTGCTTAATGCTAACGTACGATCGGTTCACAGGGAATTTTGTACAAAACGTGATAATTGAGCGGCTATAATAAATAAGACGGTGGGACTATAATTTGTGGACGAAACAATCAGGTATGAGATAATAGATCTCGGATTTTAACGCGAAATCCTTTTATCCATTTAGCTAAGTAGATTTCTGGAATTACAGCTGATGTCAGTTCGTGATGAAAACCCCATATATAATTCGTAACTAGGACAAATTACGACAATTATTGCGAACTGGATAATAAAAGCACCATTAACACTGGCTGCAGTCAGGTACTACTGTATATACGGATGATTGGAGAGCGTACAGAGGCCTACATAGACTTGGTTATGTGCATCGTGTCGTTGTCCACAAGTAGCATTTTCTGCACTCAACAACCGGAGTGCACATAAACAATATTGAAGCTGTGTAGTCGAGGCTCAACTGTATTTGAGACTTTATCATGACTCCAGAGGCCGACTATTCTGTAGCCGTATGGATGGTTTCCTCTACTGCATGCATTAGGACGTCAAGATTACAGTTATACCTTGCTGACGAGTGCCAAGTAGCACGACACCCGGATCCAGGGTTTCCTGCTGACTACCTCCAACCACCATCTAAAATCTCAATACATAGTGCCCACAGTGTCGAGTCACCTAGACTGGTGGCCACATTGCAACATGATCGATAGCATTCGATCTGCACTAATAAGGACGAGACAAGCATGATCACCACCCAGTGATCAATCAATTGTGATTACGTCTGAACTTCTTTCTAATCTTGACAAGTTTTTGAACCACGTCTAAGAAGTGTATCCATTTTATTTCCTTGATTTTGTGTAATATATATTTACTCTATACTGACTGTTTGCTGATTGGCTAATATTTCTGAAGATCGCTTAAGATCCGTTCAAAGTTTGTCCATAAATTAGAGTCTCGCTTACAATGTTATTCGAACAGTAACAATTCACATAATTCTTTGTACCATTATGATTATTAACTTGTCTATATCAACATGTACACTTAATCTCTCTCCAGCTAAATTGTTAATCTCTTAAATATCTCTCGATGATTCATTCTCTTTCCCACATATATATATGTACTCAAATCCTATTAATAGGCTTTGCCTTACCTATCTCAATCTTGATTCAATTTGACTAGAAATTCGCTCACTCACACATATTTACCTCTCTGCTTCGATTCACTCGACATACTTATAGCTTTTGTTATCTGTACTATCCGTTAATAAACTATAGTCACCGCTTCTTATTGTCTAATGATTACAAACACTATTGGGAATCAATAAATAATCACAGTTATAAAGACTGATTGATTGATTAATTCATGTAACTAAGTTACTACAAACTATATTGATTTGAAAATGAGTTAATTTTCATTTTAAATATTTAATATTTATCTATAAAACTAAATAAATTTGTCATTATTAACATTGTAAATGTTGCGTTTTTCTCATCAACTAGAGAAAAAAACAAAATTTTTTTTTGTTGTAGTTGTTGATGAATTTAGTTTCTATGCACATGTCTAGTATCCCAATTATGACAACAGAATATATATATCTACACAATGGCCATAGATACAAGTACATACATCACAAGCTGGGAATGGTGTTAGTTTATTTTATTCTCTATTTTTTTTCGACACGGTGGGGAGAGGGAGGACAAATAAATTAAATTCAAATGTATAAATGTTTAACATAATTTTTCAGAAGGAAAAAAAAAATTAAACTGGTCAGTTTTTCTTCTTTCCTTCTTTTCTTTTTTCTCTCATTTTTTTTGCTTTTAACTATGAAAGTCAATTTATTTGTTTAAATGGTAGTTTCTATGTTATCTACTTCAATAGGATATGGACTATTTATTACAATTCAGTTGATTAATTTTAAATTTATTTGGTATTCATTTGGTATTGTTTGGCTTGTATCTTCCCATTGAGGTATAAGACTGCAATTGATCAGTTTGTTATTGGCATATGTACATACTGTGCGTATGCCAATAACAGACTGCTCAATCGCAGTCTTAAACCTCAATAGGAAGATACAAGCCAAACAATACCAAGTGAATTTAGATTCACCCCATTGCACAAGCAAATGGCTATCAGGACTAAGTAGCTGAGTGGATAACGCGATGACGTTTGAAGCGAATGGTACTGGGTTCGAGTCCCAGAGTGAGCATCGACTCGGAGATACAGGTACATCCAGCTGACGAGTCGCAAATCAGAGGAAACGAGCGTCCTGGATTCCGCTACTAGCCACTATCCATCATTTGGTATTGTTTGTTTGTATCTTCTTAATGTTGTTTAGAATTAGAATTGATTTTGTCTGTTGTTCGTAATATATACATTCTATGAAAGATTGATCAATTGTAGTTATGTTATCAACATTAAGACGACTCTACATTGTACCTCATCTACAGTATTTGTTTTTGTCGAGGAATTCATTGAATTCGGTGTACCGCCTTTAATAACTTCTTTTTAATGATATGTAGTGTTTTTAGTTCATATGAAATAGCTTTCTTTTATCATTAGATCACCAAAATACAGTCGATTTTCTCACATATTTAGACTTAATTTTCATTGACGATGTGGGAGTATATATGACTGGTAAATATACTTCTTTATTTAGTTCTGATCATTGAATTATTCGTGTTCTACCTAAAGTATATATAGCAAGCTTCGATAGATATGATCATTAGGAGTATTTGAATTATAGTATCAACTAGAAATCTCAGAAATAACGCAATTGGATCAAGAAGTACTAGATAAGCACGAACGAATGTACTGCATTTGGAATTCGGAATCAAGCATTCAACAAGTACAAAAGAATCATTTGTTTATTCAAATACCACAATAGAGTATACTCTTACATCAAACAAATAAATTACACAGAAGAAACTATGTCAGCAATCCTTCGGAGACACCGATGATCAAACACAGAGAGTTGTCTAACATCCTCAACTCGGAGAGGCCAGGTTTCACAAGCATAGAACAGAACTGCTCTCACCGATGCGCTGTAGATTCAACCTTTCACGGCCAAAGATGGCCCATATTGGCATAAGCCAATCTGGCTTTCATTATAGGTGAATCGATTTCACCACTCACGCCACCGTCGGCACTTATGCAGCTACCTAGATACACAAACTTCTTGACTACTTCTATCTGCTCATCACCCATGGTGAGTACAGGATTACAAACCTGCCAGTCTTGTAGAAGTACTTTGCACTTCGAAGGTGCAAGGTATATAACATATCTACAGACACTGATTACCAACTGCTTAAATGCGGATTGCATGGCTCGGGTATTATCGCACAGTAAGACAATATCATCCGCATACTCAAGGTCGAGAAGTCTTTCTCCAGGCAACAGATTCACACCGCCATTACTTACATCCATCAGAGCTGTTTCCAGAATGTCGTCGATGGCAAAGTTGAAAAGGAATGATGAAATTGAGCAACTCTGTTTAACCTCACTTCGTGAATGGAACTTCAACTAATCCATAACATTGAACGATACATTCACCACTATCTTCAATGAATTACTATCCCACAATAGATTCAGTTGAACTCCACTACTCATTGCTTCATACTCAAACTCCAGGAAATATCTCTTGAAGCCAATAACTAAGTGAGTATATACTCATTTATATCAGAAAACATTTTATAGATTGAATTATTCAATAAAATAATTAAAAAGTAATATCAGTACAAGAATTAATTGGTTTATTATCATTATCATTTATGATTAAACTAAATATGCATATTTGCTGTTGTTGTTGTTGTTGATTATTTGATTGGTTGAATTATCATTTATTCCCCTCCTCGTTGAATTTTGATTGGTTAATAATAATAATAATAATAATAATAATAATAATATTATTATTATTATTATTATTATATTTCATTATATATATATATTACTCTCATCATTGTGTAATTAGTTGATTACATATTTAAGAGTGTATCAATTATGGTAATCTAGTGTTTCCCTCTCCCCTCCTAGTTTCCCCTTCCCTATTTTTTTGTTGTTGTTAACTGTGTTTATACTCTATTTTATAAATGATGGCTATTCCATCACAATGTTCATTAGAATTACTTACAGATTCATCATCTCATTTATTAACTAAACCAACTACACATATCATCAATAATGATTGTTTATCTTATTCAATCAATCCAATGATAGAATCAATAATTGATTCATCAAATATTGATCAATTGACTATAAAATCAATAAATCATCATCGTCATAATGATATATCAATATCATCGAATTCTACAAATGATTGTCCTATAGAAACACAATTATATAATGAAGAAGAGAAAATTTTAACCCAATGTTTAATCCATGATAATACTAATAATACTACTAATATTAATAATACTACTACTGATAATAGTAATCAATTATTAAATGATTTCTATTATGATCATGATCTATTACATAATCCATATTTATATCATACATATTATGATATTGATTATGATTTAACTGGAATCCCACCATTCAATCATTCATCATTAATGAATAATACTGGTTTAACAAGATCTACTAGAAAAATTGATAATGATCCAACGATATTATTAACTTTATTAAAATGGGCACGTATTGGTTCGAATCAATTCCATGGGGATGATGATCTAATTGATCGAATGAATTATCAATATACAAGTGTATTATTATTAATTTTATTAACATTAACTGGATTTCGACAATATTTATGTAAGTTTTATGGATTGATGGTTGTTGATTATTGTTGTTGTTGTTGTTGTTAGGTCATTTGAAATCTCAGGCGGTTTATTGATTCGTTTCTTCCTGAAGTGATACCGGTTTTTGTGTTTCGTTACAAGAATGGATTATATTTTATGGTTGTAATGAATGAGAATATAAGTGAGGATAATCGAATGGGTGACCTTTGAGCAACTCTAGACTGACTTTCAGAGTGTCCACTTAATAACCAGGACTAAATGAGGGTTATAAATGTGTGTGTGGAATTAGAATTATGATTTACAGTTGTTGGTTAAGGTTAGGAATCATATTTAAGGTTTTCATTATAAACTGACATCATTTATAATGTCAAAACTCTATTTATCCAAATGGATGAGTGAATTTCACTCCAAATCCCAAGGTCTGTTATCTTATACGTGATTGGTTCGTTCATAAATTATAGTCAACCACTTGTCTCAGAGCTTGTTGTTACTTCGTTTCCACACGAATCATTGTTTGTCGTCTTTCTCTTTTTTTCGATCTTCTTAATGTTCTACCTACAAGCATTTCACATTCTATTAATGATACATACTGCTTATATCTGTCGATATTAGTAGCACACATCATAGTATGACTGACCACTGAGTGATAAGAAAAAGGTCTCAACAAGTGTGGAGCTAACACGACAGTTACTTACAGAAAGGTCGTGTGTGACCGACCTCAGGCAGTTGTACCTTGAACAGTGAGGTCACGCCCTCAGGTCACAAAGACCACCTCTAATCCAATTTCCTTTTTCAGATATCTCCATAAGAACCCTTCCACGGTGTGGGCAACGGGGAAGTGATAACCGCCGTCATACCTCTAACAGCACTCACAACCTCTGTATTCCTAAAACTTCCTGCAGTCGTGAATGAAAAGACAATGATCATCAGTATGACATCTTTTTCACTGCTCCACAACAAGAACTAAGAACGAAATGGCCGTCCAGTGTTTCCAGGTTTTCCATGGTGGTCTTGCTTCAACTGACTCATGATTTCAATCTGTGAAATTTCGAAAATCTCCACAAACCCCTTCTGATAAAAAATTTTGTGTTAATATCCAGAATTGTTTAAGCAATAATGAGATTCAGGATAAGAGTGAATCATTTTGTTATTTTAAGCAATGAATACTTGTATTCACTTGGTATCGTTTATTTGTATCTTCCCATTGTTACTTAGGTCTACAAGAATCCAGAATGCACGTTTCGTTTTATTTAGGACTCGTCAGCTAGATTTATCTGCATTTCAGAGTTGATATTCATTCTGGATTCCACTACTAACCACTATCCATCTTTGCTTATAATGAATACTTGATTTAAGCCTCTGTGTATTATGTATTTAGTAGATAAGTTACAAATGAAATCAAATGAGTAGTATGAATTTCTCTATTTATTATTATTCAAAAATGAATTTTGTATATTTTTTTCAGAAATAGAAACAACTTACATGTTGTTGAGACTATGATTTATGGATGACCTTTGAGTGACTCTAAAGAGATTTTAAGAATGTCCACCAACTTATTACGGCTAAAATGATGATTAAAAATCAGTATGAGGAGTTGTTAGGATTAGAAATCAGCTTTAGGGTTTTCATCACGAACTAACATTAGCTCTAATGCCAAAAACTCTATTTAATCAAATGAATGAATTGATCTCGCGCCAAAATTCAAGACCTTTTATCTTAAATCTGATTGGTTCGTCCATAAATTATATCAACTGTTTGAAGCTATTCTGGAGAAGATCTTTGAGTAATGGTAATATTCTGACGCTAGATGTATTAGGTTCAAATCCAAAGAACCATCCATTGTCTTGAATATGTTAACAACAAGTATCAATGAACGCAAAGCCTAGGTCATATAGAAATTCCTGTCGACTATCTCTAAGCGATTAATATTGAAATGTACATAATGTTTTAGCATTTCTTCATTATAGTAATGGGAATAAATTATGATCAGAGAGCGGTTTTTATGGATATTTATAGTAATTTAATAATTGAATTCATGAGTCGATTAAAGCTAAACAACCATGGAAAACCTGAAATCACTGGACGGCCATTTCGTCCTTAGTTCTTGTTGTGTAGCAGTGAAAAAGATATCATTCTGATGATCATTCTCTTTTCATTCACGACTGCAGGAAGTTCTAGGAATACAGAGGTTGTGAGTGCTGTTAGAGGTATGACGGCGGTTATCACTTCTCGGTTGCCCACACCGTGAAAAGGTTCTTATGGAGATACCTGAAAAGGAGATTGGTTTAAAGGTGGTCTTAGTGACCTGAGAGAGTGACCGTAGTGCCCAAGGGACAACTGCTGGATGTCGGTCACACATGACATTTTTGTGATCGATTTTCGTGTTAGCTTCATACTTGTTGAGACCATACCGCCGGAGATGGATAACCGTTGAGTAAAACGAGATGTGCAGTTTTGGGATCGACCTTTTCTAACCTCACCCCTCCTTGTCAGAAGGCAGTATCACTGTCATGCTGGTTGTATGAAGGAAATACCTTACTGTCATCACACATCTGTGCAATCAGCAGTACAACTTCGCCTTCGAACCTTGGGTTTGTTGCTTATAGTCTTACCACTCTTTAACTGACCTGTCTAGCATGGTAGGACCTTGAGGAACAGATGTTCTAGCCAGTATAGCTCGGTTGCTTCATCACGATAGGCAGTCCGGACCACCACATCAAGGTAGCAACAACGGTCGGTGCTAATGCGGTATAGCAACTTGGACCGATGCATATATGTGCCTGGTCTTAGATTGTAGCTCGTTGACTGACTGATAGGAAATTCTCAAGGCAAAAAAGATATATAACTTATATCATCACAAATTAAACATGTATTTACAAGAGTTCAAATGGAAATATGAAGAGAATACCTATACAACCATGATTATTTATCTTCATTTATCAGGTTTTTGTTTTATAGATTAGATCTAATTATCAAATGATATAAATTCGTTAATTATAAGATGTTGTAAATCACTTGTAATACAATTTGTACTTGAGATTACTCTACCATTCGGCAAACATTACAGAAAAAATAGATGAATTGTTGAAGTGTTTACATTTAAGCTTTTGAGATGGTGGAGAAGATTTGTAGCTCAGGTGGATGATTTTGGTGGAGTTTTGTTCTCTGAGCTGGATGGTTTGGTTGTGGAGCTTTCATTGTTCTTCTGAACGAAATCATCTGTTTGAAGTTTGTGTTGATGATGTCGTTCAGAAGAACGATGAAAGCTCCACGACCAAACCATCCAGCTCAGAGAACAAAACTCCACCAAAAACATTTAAGCTTTATCATACTTGAGATTTGTCAACTAGATTTATTTATGTCTCTATGTTGATATTTACACATAGACTTCATACCCAGTAACTAACACTCTCCAAATATCAGCAAATTATTCACTAAACTACTAAGTTCAGGTAACTAATAACTAATCCAATGGTATAAATTTTGCTTATAACAGTTGAAATCGATCAGTTTCTATTAGGATATTTGTATCCTGGGCAAATATCCTTGATATTGTCACTTTGTGTGTGTGTGTGTGTGTGTATATATATATAATGTAAAGGATTATCACTAGGGTTAAACTATTTTTGTTAATTTAAAACTCATATTGATTTTTCAATTTCAAGTAGTATCTATAAGCAACGTATAAATTTGGTGTTGTGTCATCAGAAAGAACAAAATAATTCACAATATAAGTATTTTATGAAATAAACACAATACGAGAATGAGATTTTAATGTTACTATGAACCTATTTAAGCTAGACAGTATTATGATATTATAGACTGCTAAGACTTGTACATTATTGGATTCTAACTAAGTCAAGTGATGAAGATGTTTAACGTTCACTGCGAAACTAAATATTCTGAATGCAATCTCCATTTGGATAGTGTGTCAACACTTACTATGAGTCCCATATTGCAGGAAATAGTTGTTTTGATACTTCTAGATTTTCATTGCTTATCTAACTTAGATCAGTATGCGATTTCAATAGAATTGAACAATCTTCCCAGACCCATACTGATAAATGTGCGTGTTCTTTTGAAGAGAATCAGGACAGTCTGTAAAATTACAATGGATGTGAGTAAATCACATAATATAAACACTTTTTCAATACCATCGCAACTGATTCCTTCACATGAAACCATCTTAAATATTCATTGGTAGATATGAATCAACATTATAATATTATTAGTATTATTCCATTGATTTGAACGATACTTGGCTTGATATTTGCGCGATTTCACTTCAATCAATTTAAATCACTATTTTTCGTTATCCATATGAAACACTTTCGTTTGCAAGGAACACATTTCGTAAGTATCAAATAGGTACTTACACTACATTACATACATTACATACATTATATTACATTACATTACATTACATATCATTGACTTGTAGTGTGGGGTCGAGTCGCGGTTGACTATGATCACCACTACAAGAAGGATGCGTACCAGATATCAGAAGGCGATTGGAGGTTGTACCGAGATATATTTGTTGGCGATCTCGTGGTATCAAAAGAATACCGAGATCGTGCCAAAAGGGTACAAGCGGGACCACTGAGCAAACGTGAGTGCGTGCAAGGTCACAATCAACGGAAGCTAGAATGTCTTTAGTACAGTTAAACAAACAAGTACAGTAGATTAATCACTGGTGCAATTGGTTATAATAATAATTGTTTCCATTAAACCAATCGCGTTCTCTTGATAAAAGTAGGTCACTACAGACTATTACACATGAAAGTCTTATCTCTAGATAGTATATTGATTATCATGGTAAAACAATGTCCAAATGTATTAAATTTTTCGTCGTTGATATTCGGGGTATGAGTAAATCAGTTGTTGTTGTTGTTGTTGTTGACAAATGTGCATCCTGAGCTTGTTTACAAATAACCTCAGCCTGAATATCTTAATACTCTTGTGATTGGAGACAATAATAGGGCGACTGAGCAAGATTCTTGTAGTTCAATAGAA